CTGTTTATCTATTAAAATTCCCTTTCCTAAGCATATATTTCGACATGTCACGTAAGGTTCCATTGATCTTTTAATTTGAGTCCTTTAGTACACGATACGTTGTCCTGTCTCGCAGTACATATTCCATTTTCACAGTATATTTTTTTCCGTCGATTACAACTGCCACTCTTCCTTTGTCTTTACTATGGTCCCGCCTGTTCTCGCAAATCTCTTCATGTGCATTGACTCATTATTCAAGGGCATTGGGAATATTTTCATCTCGATTTTCTGTTTTCTCCTCTGGAAGCGAGATTAGATTCACCATCTTATTTCCTTTGTCGTGCCGACCAGTAGGTGTCATCTCCTTGGAAACCCCTTCACCTGAGTGCTCTAGCCTTAACCTAGGTTATTTTATAATTCTGTACCTAAGTAATTTATTTCCATATTTTTTTATTAAGTCTCAGATCATACTTGATTTTTTGCCGACCATACTCTAGAATTCTTGATAAGCTTCCGGAGTCAGAATCCAGTCCAGATCATGTCGGAGCTTTGCCTTAACATCCACAGACTTAAATAGCTTATTCCTCTTTATATCAGAGGTTTCGTTTAACTTTTGTAGGGGGGCTTTATTACGAATCTCATTTACCCTATCTGAACTGTAGTGTATTCAGAAGTGGTATTATAACTTTTATTACAGTTTAAAAAGATCAGATGGTATTGTTGACTTACAATTGTCTTTTTTGATGTTTTTTGACCTTATATGTTTTTTTAAATATCATAACTTCATATTCAATCAATGCAGCTGAAAAAAAACTAAAAGTGTGCGGCCTTTTAATTTTGAACCCCATAATAATCTGTAATTACTAATTTTCTTTATTTAAACATATTATTACATTGTCTTTTGTTTCAACCCGATAATGCCATCTATTGTCGCCTTGGCACTGTACTATAGACGATATTATGTTTGTCTCATGATTTTATGGTATAAATTAACTTTTTACTAATTATATATCATTGCATACGTGCTAAAATGTACTGACTTTCTTGCCCAGCAACAATATATTCAGTCATCTAAGCAGAAGCTGAGTTATAACTCCCTTGCAAGACAAAAATCCTGCACTCGGACATACATCTTATTACATTTTTATCCAGTACTGATTTGTACCAATCCAAATCTACCTTAAATTCAAAAATTAAGGTACGCTGATTTCGTTTATTTTGGCAAATATTTTGTCTTGGCTTAGACTTGGTACCTGTTACCTCTATTTCTAGCCCATTGGGACTACTTTGAAAAGCAAATTCATCCAAACAGTATATATACGATAAGTTAGATTTACATATTTATTAACATATTTACGAATTGAAAATACCTTTACAGTGTTGGTTCGACTTTGTTTTCGCAAACATTTTCGGGGCTTCAAGGAGACCTTGTGGATCGTACATAGCTCATGTCCTCTGCTAGAGTTTTCGTGATTTCCAGCATTGGACCATTGGCTGGGTATATTCCCAAGTGTCTCGCCGGCATAGTGGTCGGCATCGTCAATGAGAGGCGCCATCATAAGCACAGAGTTACAACTTATCAAAGTGACAAGTGAGGGCTGTCCTCTTGACCAATATTCTGTTCAACTGTCGTGGCATCACTACTTGCTCCTTTTTTTTTCTACATTCTATCTATTAAAATATCTTTCTTTTTGTCGAAATTTCATCCAATCAAACTTATATTGACATGTGCTCTCTCGAATTCATTTGTTTTATGACTGCTTTGTTGGTTGCTTTTTTCAATGGCATTTTGTGCCTATTTCATTACCGATCTTTCACATGATGTAAGACATCTTTTTAGTGTTGGGGAGACTTTCCTTTCATATGATGGTGCATGATGAGGAGATTCTAAGATCGATCTCATCAGAAGACGATGGCTAATTACCGTTGTATTGCAGCATTTCGGCCTTAATATGACGTTTGGATTGACGCAGTCCACGAGACATCCTTCATTGTTTCGGGTGAAAACGGACTGTCCATCATATGATAGACATTATCATGGCTGGAACTCATTCTTGTAAATACCTCAAGATAACACTAGATGTTAATTACATAGACTGTGTCAACCTGAACGTCGTATCAAACCCATTCGACTGCAGTACAATGGGAACCATCCCACACCTAATGAGATCGCCCTTCAAATCCTTTCGTCATGCGCTCTCATACGAAATGAAATTCTCCCGAACAATATCATCATGGGAGATTCATCAAAACTCTCTTACTTTTCGTATTTGTATTTTTTTAATTCTGACTTGCATAGAATTATCAGAATTTTAGAAAGTCTGACTAGATATTGGTCTTGATGGCTAGACTAAGTACTAATAAACTAGTTATCCTGCTCCTAAATCATGTCCTGGATCTCGTTCTAAGTTTGATTCTAATTTTGATAATTCTCAACCCTAGTGATTTGAGCTTATTTCGGAATTTTGTGAATTCTTGTCTCATGATTTTTACGATACTCTTCTTCTAGCTGTCTGCTCATCACGAGTTTAACTAATGAAGTATGATCTTCACACCTTATTTGGACTATAGTCACTTTAGAGTAATACAAATTTGAATTAGTCTTGGCTGTTTAACAAATTTGGGTAATTCGTTTATTCACGGAACTTTAATACCGATAAAACGCTGGGTACTATTAGGTACTATTTTATATCTTTTTTTCAATCTTAAGTCAAGTCTCTCTTTAATCGAACTAAATCAATCGTTATATCTGTGGTAAATATTGGAATTTCGCCTGTTTAAATTATAATTAATCAAATTTGATCGAAAAGTCTATTGGCTATGGAATAATGAAAGTTAATAATTGATATGTTTTTAGAATAGTAGTTATTCCAGTTCGCTTAGTTCACGGTGGGCTGAAAATGTAATTTCCCCACGATGTCACTATATTTCACTTTGCCTGGTCTCTCTTATCCAGGGTGGACTGCTATTTTGACCTTACCTGGATCTCATTATCACTCCTGTCAAACCAAGACAGTAATTGTAAATTGATTAAACGATACTACTACCCTACATGACTACTGTGCCCGTTGTTCATTGAGCATTCGTTTATTTTGAGACAAACTTTACCTCTCTCATATCCTACTCATAGTTGGGTTGTCGATTAAGCAAGCTTGTATTCGTCAATACGCTCGAATGCATTCATAATAAGTATCATTATATTATGGAATAAAAATGAAAAATTTCGATTATCCAGAATTTTGGTGCTTCATTATCATGAAGCAGTTTGAATACTTTGTAAACGGATGCGACAGACAAAAGGGTCTCAAAAGTGGAACACCTATGAGCAATATGCGCTAATAAAATAATTGTTGATTAAGATACAAATTCAATTTACATAACAGATGTAGGAATTTAGCCATAATAAGTGTCTTCGCAATGAGGTTGTAAATTGGAAAAGCTAGTCGCAAAGGCTTAATCTGATTAATTGACATCGGAGTGCGAAATTTAAAAAAAAGTATGTGGCATTCGGTTCGTTCTGCGTGTTTGAGCCGTTCAAATCAGTAAGGTCTCAACACTATTGTCAATACTTGTTTGCTGTCCAAAAATTAGGGAATCTTTGGCCATGAAACCAATGATGAATTCTAAATGTCACTACATACTCTAGTCGCTTTTACATACTTTCTCAGAACATGAATATTTTAGAGTTGAGCTACTGTGCGCATTTTATTAACCTCATATGTAAATAGGATTTCGTTGCAAAAATGTACTTAAATCAAATTCGTGAATAGTAATTATTCTTTCTCGCATCAAAGTAAGTTATTCTTTCAGAGTCGTATCAAATGCATTACTACAATGCTTTTTTTAGAGACAGAATTTCTCACCTTCATTACTTTTGTTGACTACAGGAAAAATTCTTAGAAGATCTCACACAGGAACGCGAGCTGGAACGTGAAGAATTTCAGACAGAAATTAATAAACTAGAAACTCGAATACAGGAGTATAAGTAAGCAATAGTTTGTGCCGACACTTTGCATCTTTTTTATTTTATGCTATAATCTTTGCTATGTTTGTTTACCATGCTCTTATTTACTCCTAATTTGCTTTCCGTATATTCTACCTTTAATCAATCTTTAGAGGGATTTTTACTTTTTTGACCTTTACCAATAAATCCTGATATTCAATTATCTATCTATTGAATTTTGCTTGTACATCACATAATTGGACATGAGTTCGTATTAAGTTCTGCATAATTTCAGTACACTACAATACAACTTCACTCTCACATATACATTACCTTTTGACTTCTTTATTTCGATTCTTTATTAGTTTCATTTTAATCGGATTTTAAATTCCAACTTTGTCTCTAATTTAAATAGACTAACCAATGCAATTCAAAATTGCTTTTTATTATTTCATAATGAACCTTTTTTTTCATTTAAAAATTTTGAAATTGTGTGTTCTCTAGGATTTTATCTTGATGACCATTGGTTTTTTTAATTAAAATTTAGTCTTCGGCAGCGAAACCCCAAACTTAGTAATTCCTGCCGTAACAGTGATGGAGCCTCAAGCTGTGGCGAAGCTTCTGCTGCCGTTGAAGCCTCCAAAACCAGCTTCGAGGTTGAAAGCTCTGCTATTGCTAGCTCGGATAGTGATGAAGTTCCTCGACATCATGACTGCCGATGCCGACTGTCTCTTCGTCGATTTCCTTCGCCTGCGTCTCTTTGTGATGATTCAGCAACTGCAATCGTTGGCAAAACACGAAGAAGACGAAGACGGCGCCAGAAACCTTCGGCATCAGCATCTGACTTAGATAACCTTAAGCAATTAGTTGAAGGCCAAATTCGCAACCTCAGCAACGAGGATTTATTGTCGCCGATGCCGTCTGAGTTGGTTCCATCGGACCAAGTGCCTTTTCCAACCAAAACTAACAATCACAACTCGATAAATCTTGGAAATTATGCTGATGAATGCCATTTTAAAACAGGAAAAGTAATGTTACATTTAATTTTTAAATAGATTTATATATTTAGACTATCCTACCAGTTATTTTCTATATTTTCTTTTATTTATATACTAATTTTCATTAAATTGAATATTTTAAAGCATTCTTCAGTATATCGTTCTACCATCTCTGGCATTTATATACCTTATTTGAATTCATGTTCTTTTTTGATTTACAACTCTATTTTATGCTCATATTTATTTAATATCGAAATAAACGTATGCCACATTACACTTCGGATACTACAAGATAATTAAATCATCCTATATTTGTTGGCTCACCGTACACAAGTTTCATCATAGGAATTAGTTGTAATGCAAAGGCTCGACTACGAGATTTGCATGTTTAACAGGTGGAACGGAGACAAGGAAAACCCCAGTGCTAAGTCAGTCCTTTTTTATCCTAAGAATCTTGGCTTTAGATATATACTCTGTAAATTTATATTATACGTATTATCATACTCTTGAGGCAGAAGACGAGAAATAATGCTTTGGTGTCAGTGAACATATGAAATCACTAACCTGGAAGGATAATAGTTCTTTAAGGGCAATAGAAAGTCCATCATCTAAACGGGATGAAGCACATTGCAGACGAAAATGGCTAAATTGGGTCAATATTTCCATTACAATATGCAGGATAAAGAAACCAGCGAGAAATGTGAATAGCCCTCTATATATAAGCCCAAAATGCCGAACCTCTAACATAGTTCAAGATAAGTAAGTTTGCAATGATATTACAAATGAAATAAAAATACAAGCAGAAAGTTCGTAAAAGAAAAAGCTTTTGATAAGTTTTTGTTTGGTGCCTATACTGGCATAGCAGTTTGACTCACTGACGATATCGGATATGATGTCTGTGAAACTTCTCGGAATGTTCCAAGTTCATTGTTATACTCTAGAAATGATGATGGTTACTGTAACAGAGGGGGCTTCCTTCAGTTCTATTTGACAATGAGACTAAATTGCATAA